GAATAGTTCTGTTATATGTTCTGTATGATTTTTCACTTTATTTAGACTTTTATATTTTGTTGAACATTATATATGCACTTCATGTAGTATTCATAATATATTTTATAAATTTATTTAGATTTATTGTTTTTAATATTAATTTATATTTTATTTTTAATGTATCTTAATAAATTATATTTAGTATGTAACATAATAATGTTTAATTAAAATTATTAAAAATTAATTCATTACCATTTTTTAAAAAATTGAAAAAAAAAATTATTTAAGTTTTTACGACGACATTTTTATACTTGTCGTCGCAAAAAAATTTGAATTATTTGCGACGACTTTTTGAAATTCTCGTCGCAAAAAATATTATATCACGACAAATTAACCAACGGCGTATTTGCGACGACTGTCGTTGCAAAAGAAAAATGTCGTCGCAAATGTATTTGTGACAACACTGTGTCGTCGCAAATAAAGTATTTGCGACCATTTTTTTGCGGCGACATATCTGCGACGACATGTCGTCGCAAAAAATACTATTTGCGACGACATTAGGGTTTTTGCGACGACTTTTTGTCGTCGCAAAAATCCCTTTTTCTTGTAGTGTATCCATGTGAAATGTAAACTACAAATTATTAAGAGACAATAAAAAAGATCCATATATATTTATATGTAACGTATAAATACACACTTGCATATTTATTATACATATAACGATAATAAAAAAAGGACGTACAGTGACAAAGATTTAGGTCTCTAATCCCATTATAAATGTTGATACGTAACTAATCAGCAATACTTATATTAAAAAAAAAATAAACTAATGGCTTTTTTGGGACAAAAATTGAAGAACGGTAAGATAAGATTCGGTTTGCTAACTCACTCACACTTGAAAACAACTATAAAGATACATAATACATACATACATACATATATATATATATATATATATATATATATATACACACACACACACACGATTGATCATAATCTTCTTTTGACTGATATCTCATCACTCATGATACTATTTCTCAGGCTGCTGCTTGGGATCTTGCTTGGTTTCACATGCAGTCACATAATAACGTCAAAAAAGAAAAACAAAGAAACAAAAAACAATACAAAACACGTGATAGCATCATAATTCGAATATCAGAACATGCGTATAGAAAACATATTTTATTATTTGAAAAAAGAAAAAGAAAAAAGAAAACATATTTATTAATTCTCTGAAAAACATATGTTTTATATTAATATATTAAGAACATGAGTAACTGAGATTTTCAATAATAACGGGAAAACTAGATTTTCATTAATTACTTCTCAATTGTACTTACCTCATAATAATCTTTCTTTCTTTTTTTTTTTTCCTCCTTATATATAACATATACATTAAATTAAATTCCAATGGCCATATAGAGCCATATAGGTAAAACCGAATATCTCTTTTTTTTTTTTTAACCACAGACCGAATATCTTGATTAATAAGCTCAAACGGAGACTGATCGATCATTGCAATAATTACAATGTTAATGTGCTTTCGTTTTTCCCTTGTCTAGTTTTTATTTTTTTTTCTTTGAATTTTACAGACAAGGTTTTTAATGAGGCATCCTATAGATTCACCTCAGTAGCAGTAGATCTTGCAAAAGGCAATATCACAGATTGCTTGTCAATGTTTCAACGAAATTTACTGGATAAGTGTTCTTCTAAGTTTATGGTCTCAATTGTTTTTTTTTTTAATTGTTGGAGCGGATTTTGGCATCCACTTTTTTTTTCCTCTATTTTTAATAAAATTGAGTGAGCAATTTGGCGAAGGATTAGATCTCTAGAAGGCGCAACAGTAATTCATCTAGCAATTGTCATGTTTTCTCGCAATTGGCAAACATCATTATCTAGATGGAGATATATACTGGGAACATCCTTTTATTGCCCATATTATAATAAGAAATAATTTTAGTTTACATAAGATTATCAATATAATTTTATGATATCAGCATTAATCATTGTGCATGGCGTATTATTCTAGTGTATATCGATTATAACACATATATCTTATTTTGCGTTATCAAACAAGGAAAAAGTAGGGGGACAAAAGGTGTTTAGCGGAATAATTGGTCCCTAATTCAACTCAATGTGTCTGTGCTTCAATTATACACACAAAATGAAGAATATAATTAAATGAAGGGAGAAAGATGAAAATAGGTCAAGACTTGAGATGAATTAAAATTAATAGGTCAATAGTTTACATAAGTTAATAAATAGGTCAAATTATTATTTTTGTCAATAACTTATCTGGTTATAAACCATAACTTGACAAGTTATTGTCCATAATTCACAGTTTTTGTCCATAATTTGTCTGGCTATGAACCATAATTTGACAAATTTATCCATAATTTATCTAATTATAAACCATAACTTAATAAATTATGACATATTAATTTTTATAACTAAAAATTAACCTATATACTTTCTTAAATTTTTTCTTATTTTTTACTATTTCCGTTAAATGAACATGAGAATCATAGAGGTACTCCAAGTGAAATAGGCCATAATATTAAAGTAGTGAGAACAGTTATGATATGCCTTAAACGCTTTTTCTCTTCTTCTTCTTCTTTTTTTTCCCCCTCTTCTTTTTAAGAATATGATTTAGCTTTTTTTTTTTTTTTTTCTTCCCTCTTCTGAAAAGCTCAAATCTATGCTCATTTTTGACCTGTTATATATTAGCTGTATCCAATATACCACATATTAGGTCGACAGGTCCTACATAAAACGAAGGAATAGTTGAAAAAAATGCATTATTATTTTGTATAAAAAAAATCTATAAAATCCGATTTCAAACCTTTAGATTATACTAAGAAAAGTTGACGGTTTAAATCTGTACTTAACTATAGTTTTTTATTTTATTTTCACCATTACCTTCCCAAAAGTCTCTTTCTACTTATTAAGAATTCGGAATTAATTAGCCTCATAAAGCTTTGATATTCCTTTAGTAATCAGGATTTTACAATCTCTTCAAGGGTCTAACTCCAATCCTTTGTCGATGTTTGTGAAGACCTCATAAAACATCATTTCTAGCTTAAAAGGGAAATGAAAAAAAAAATGAAAAAAAAAAGAGCCACAAATTTATTTTTTATTCTATTTTTGCTAAAGAGCATTAATGACGGGAGAATGGTTTGTAAGTGATGTAGATCATTGTCGGTGGCCTTCATATCTGTCTATCTTGCCCAAAAAAAAAAAAGAGTAAGAAATAGTCCATTAATTGTGGAGAATATTCCAATTAGGAATTTTGCTCAAACAACAAGTTCATAGACAAAATGACAAATCAATTTGTTTTCTACTATTGTTACTTTTCTTTTCTTTAATTTTCTGCTGCAGTTAATAATTAATCTAACTTGGGTTGCATAAAAGCTAACTAGAAAAATTAAATAAAAAAATTTTTGTCCTTGATGTACGACAAGGTTAGTTTTTAATTAGCTCTTTTTTTCTTTTATAAACATATACATTGGAATTTTTAATATTTCACGTGGGCAAGAAGCAAATTTCATGAGATACGTTTGGAGCATATTAGGTATCTATTAGCTTAGAATTCAAAATTTAATCATGATTTAGTTTTATTGAAATTGCTTAGATCTCATAAAAAAAAAAAAAAACACCTTTATCACCGAGTATTAAATATTTTATTTACATTCTCTCTACTCACTCTGATCACGATTCAAGTGGAATTGATCATCATTGCCCCACGTCTAAAGGATAAAGTATAAAAACATTCCTCCTTCAAAAAAAAAAAGTATATAACAACTCCCACGTGGCTTCTATAATTAATAAGTATTTTTTTACATCTCTGTCTGCTTAAAATTAGTACTTAAAAAAAAAAGCATGTATTTAGCGTTTTCTTCAAAATAATAATTAATTTATATTTCGGAAAATCTCGGCTGTACAGGGAGAAAAAATACATACGTGATTGCATGTTTGCTAAATAAAACATATTTATACGTATTATGTATGCATGCAGGCACTTCTATGTGATAAAAAAAATAAAGTCCTTGAAAGTTGAAACAATAACTTAATTAAGATAGAGAATTAATCATCATCAAGCTATAAGAAACAATATCTAGAGCTTCAATGTAATAGTTGGGATATTCTTTTATCTTGGTTTTATTTTTCATTTTTATAAAGTCAAGTATAAAAGAAACACAAATAAAAAGTAGTATTTGTTTTCTTTTTCTTTTTTTGTCCTTTTTTCCCCTTATCGAAAAAATAAATGGATCAGTATTATAGGGGATCATGATACATGATACAGATATATATTAGCTTCTGCAATATTGTAAGAAATACAAAGGTGGATATTCGTCGTGAAGAATTAAAAAGCATATGCACTTTACATGTTTAATAAAGTGGAAATGATGAATAGATATTCCACTAAGGTACTATCATTCATTTGTATTAACGTATTGAACCTATTCATTCTCTTTCTTAATTGGTATATCTCTCAATTTTTTTATTGCCTTTTGAGAAAACAGAACTATAGTTTGACAATTTTGATATAGATTAATAATTAATAATGATGTAGATTAACAAAAGTTCTGTATACGGAGGAAATTAGAGCAGTAAAAATTCTTAGTTTTTATTTTAATGTTTGAGATTATATTTTAAAAAAGTTTAATGAGATAAAGATATTTAATTTTTTTTAATGAACAATAAAAATATTAGAACAAAATCTTCTTGAAATTAATGATACCAGTAAAAGGTATAAAGTTTTCTTGTAATAATTTTTTTTTTCCGAATATTTTGTGATTTTGACTCAAAGTGTAGAATATTATTGTCGAAACTCTTTTGAAAATGTTGCTCAACCACTGCTAACAGTGGATTAATTAATTTGAACTCATAAGCTAAAATTAGTTTTCAGAAAGTAATAAACAGACCTAAAAATAATTTTTCGATAAAAATAATATGTAATAAGAAAGCCTTTATGTGGGCGTGTCTAATCTCTCATTGTCAGATTAAATCAAGTATGCCATATATTGTAAATTCATTAACAATAAACTGAAACTATTTTTCTTACTTCTTTCGAAGAGAATTCTATGGAAGGTATTAAAAAAAAGGTCCTTTTAAGGTAGGTTTTATAGAGGCAGTGTATGTTTTTTTACATCAAATTTAAAAATTAATCTATACAAACACAATTTCTTATAGAAGTCTGGCTTTTAGAAAACAGAGCCTAAATTATTGTACTTACTTTTAGAGTGATAGATTTGAATTTTTACTATTTATTTTTTATTAATACCCTTTTAAATAATATAGTTATTTGTTTTAAAAAAATATTAATTAAGAGTAAGTGGTAAAAATTTTTAGACCTTTGCACTTTAAGTAATATTTGTCTCATTGCTTCTACCGATAATTCATTCTTTTTTACTAAAAATCCCAAAAAAAAAAAAAAAAAAGAAAAACCATTTACCAGTAGGATTCACTTTGAACTTTTAAATTACATTAGAGTATCGTAAAAATTACTTTCAACATTATTAGTCACAAAAAATGAGAATTTAGTCGGAGAAAACCTTCAGTCTTGACTAAATATTAGTTGCATAAGATTATCAGATTAGTTGCCAATAATGGAAACCACCATTAGTTTTCAAGGACACCATTTTGTTTATCCTAAACATATATAATATTTGAGTTGGTAAGGTTGAAGTGCATATTTCTGTACGTACAGTACTTATATATTCCAAAGGTTCGATGCATTTATAAATATTCTTAAGCTCGTGTTACGATCTTACCATAAAAAATATGAAACCCATTAGACTATATATATATAAGACTGAAATTTAAGTTCTTATAAGAGAAAATATTATAGTAAAAAGATTGTATTATAACTTGAACCTAAAAAAAAGAATTGGATCTTGATTATACTTTTTGTTAGGTAATACAGTGACAGTTGGTTAGACTGCGGTATTATAAACGCAGTTGTAGATAGTATGAGAGGATGAGATTAGTAGTGGTCAATTCTCAATACAGAAACAGGATAATAATCTTTCTATTTAGTGTTTATGTAATCAATTAAACTATAAACTTGCTTTCCTTAATTATCTTATCTTTTTATGTCTACTCTATGTAACCAATACATATAAGTAACTACTCATAATTAAATTCTACTTTAGTCAACTTTTGGTGGATTTGTGAAAAAGAAGCCAGAAGCCAGTACTTAGTTTGGTATACGGATTTTCCTGTCATTTCCACAAATTTGTTGAAAGTTTGATATACGAATTTTCCTTTCATTTCCACAAATTTGGTGAACATAATGATACAAAATTTAGGATTTTAACTACTCATTGGTGTTACAAGCAAAGGAGATTCTCTGATACGTATTGTGTACCGGTAGGTTAGGTTTTTATAACCGTTAAATCTGCATATTCATTGACTTTTACGTGATTTTATGCATATTTGATGGACAGAAATCTGACCTATTAGTATGTTTGTGTATCGAAGAAGGTTCTTAAAAGTAAAAAAGGGGAAAAATGAAAAACCTAGACTTCTTTCAAGTATACCCCTCTAAGAAATGGAAGATATGGTGAAGTTATTACTAAAATTAGGGGTTAGACTTTAGAGGAACTGGTTGACTACCTTTTTTCCAAAATCATTTTATAAGTTTGTGTTGTTTTCTCTCATGATGTATCACCATTATTTTATTAGGACATTTTTTAGTACGTCAACATACTGGTAGGTTAAGTTTTTATCATCGAATTTGCATAAAATCACGTAAAAATAAAAAAGTATGCAGATCTAACGGTCAAAAAAATCTGACCTCTAGCACGCTAGGCGTACCAGAGAATCTCCATATTTTATAAGTTTGTGTTGTTTTTTAGGCTTTTTACCAATCACGTTAAAAAACAGTAAAACAATCAAAATTTGAGAGATTTTCCAATACACTTACATACTGATAGGTCAAATTTTTCTAACAATTAGATCTACCCACTTTTTAATTTTTAGGTGCTTTTTTACAAATTGCAAACTGTAATATTATTAAAGTAATTACTACATAATTTTACAGTACAAAAATCTATGTTATTATAATGATGGTTATGTAATTTTGATATTCTTAAAATATTTCAAAAAAAATGTTATATTTCAACTTCGCTATCATGAATTTACCATGCAATTTTTACAAATTTCTTTGGACTTTGGACCGAAAACTGAGGGGGTGCTTTTTTTTTTTCTTCTAGGTTTTAGTTGAAAGTTTGAATTGAAATTGAAATTGTATGAGAGAAAACACTATAATAATGGAGTGAATTATGAGAAAAAACACTGTTCAAATTAAATTGTTCAGTCCTTTGATGTCGAGATTTCCTCCCAAGGAAAAACACTTTTGTCATCTAACATGTTGACTAGAAGAGCATTAGGCCCACGTTCAACTTGAGTTATAGACAGCTTAAAAAAAAAAAGAAGAAAAAAGTAGTACATTTTCTTCAAAATTAAAAGGCAGTACAAAGTGGGTGAAATATATGTTCTTTTTATAATTTAATGGACGCGTTTGGAACTTGTTTTAAAATGATTTTATTTTTTATATAAAAATGAAAATGAAAAAGTTTTCAATCTCATATAGAAATCATTTTTAAAAATACGTTTGGTAGTTTTATCAAGAGATTGTTTTCAGTATAAAAAAACTCATTAATGTCTCTCTCTCTCTTTGCTCGAGAGAGGAGAAAACAAAAATAAAAAATAAAAAATGACTAAAAGTCATTTTTTATTTCTCTCTCATTTTACACTAAACTAAAACATCGTTTTCATTTTTATTTTTTTTTATTGCGCCAAACACTGTTTTGAAAACGTTTTCATTTTTTTTCTCAAAAAACGTGAAAAATAAAAACTTTATTGCGCCAAACACTGTTTTGAAAACGTTTTCATTTTTTTTCTTAAAAAACGTGAAAAATAAAAACAGAATCAATTACAAACACGGCTAAATTTTTTCACTATAGTATTTTCTCTCATATAAAATTTATTATACAATTTAAATTCTCAACTCGAGTGGTCTCATTTCTTAGCTTTAAAGTTTCAATTTTTTTTTTTTTTTTTGAAGGATGAAGTTTTAATTGAGAGAATGGACATTCATTTTATTATTTTCTTTTTTTTTTGAAAAAATGAAGAAAAAGAGACAATAGACAGTACGTGGGGTAAGGAAAGCCGTTCAAAGAGTCCACCGGGGGGGAGTCAATGTACTGTTGCCTTTTAAATTATTATTCCATTAATCCAACATAAAAGACTACGGGCAAAAAAAGAAAAGGAAAAAGCTGAAGACGTTAGTTTTTCGCGTTTGAACCTGATTTCGTTATAGTACTTTTCTCTAAAAATAATTGAATAAATAAAACTCCAGCCAATAGTCCTCTCATAAAATGTGTATTTAAAATCAACATCATTGATTTAAACTAGACTAAACAGGTAATCAATATTAATGATTTAAATGTGTAAACCAAACGGATTATGAAAAACCCTTTCCAAGGGCACCGTAAGCTATTTGTTTTTCTTTTTTGTTTTTTTTTTCCCCAATAATGTTGCCTTTCGGGAACTTCTGGTTGACCTTATCATCACTCTTCAAAATTTATTATAAGGTCGATGTTTCCCATCCAAAAAAAAATCAAAAACAAAAACAAAAATAAAAATGTGCAAGAATTAAATTCAGACCTCAAGAGAACAGAACATACAAACATAAAAAAATCGGTCAAAGAAATGTGTTACATAAATTTCTGAGTGATTGAAGTATTATCTCAATAAATTAAGGATTTTACGACTTCAATATGTGACACAATAAGCAGTAAAAGAAATAAAATATAGCATGGTCGTATTAAACTCTCTCTCTATCTCTCTCTTGTTATAAGATGAAATATTATTTTCCTTCCTCAATGAAAAATCTGTTACAACAGTGTGGAGTTGCATAAATTAGCCTAGATAAGCTCTAAGGCCTATGAAGCCTGAAAGAGAGGGAGGACCAAAAAAGAAGGGGGCGGGTTCGGTTTTTAGCAGGAAAGTTTCAGTTTTCAGTTTCTGGGCTTGCCAAAATTACTCCACCTTCTTGCTAGTTTTGTCATCATCACCTTCTTGAGATGCTGTTTTTGACTCATCAAACTCCAACAACTGCATATGGCAGAGACCAATATCAGAACGGTAATCAAATCATGCTTTTACTGCCACTTCCCAGCAAACATGCTCAACATTTTAAGCTTTCGTTTTTTGGCTGGTAAAGCTTTTTCGGACACAAAGTGTTCAGGTACGATCATAGAACATATGTTTGCATACTTGAAAGAACAATGCCATAGGGTAGTAGTGGTGACTAATAGAAGGTGGGTCCACAGCATGGGCCCGTTTTTTATTAGCCGTGGTGCCCCTATTAACAAACTAAACCATTTTGTCTCGCTTCAAAACCTTGTGTGTTCTTAAAACGTTTTCAATCAAGTAAAATTACCGGATAAATATTATACTGTCATTCTATAAAACAAAGCTTCAAATGTGTTTTATGCAAAGATATGAATCACACGGGAGAGAGCATAAACAAGAAAGGATATGTGGACAAACCGGTTTGACTTCACCATTCCATATAACGTGCACAGCCAGAAATCCAATAACAGCTGGCACAATATACAACAGTGCAGGCTGAAAACAAAACAAGATACCGTATTAATGAGGATCGCAAAAAACAAAAAGGATCAGGCTGGTGTGCATTAAATGATAATACGAAACAAAATAAATTCAAGAAGAGAAATCTCTTTCAAGCCAGCCTCAAATTCAAGAATGAATTTGACCGTGACATACTTGTAAAAAAAAAAAAAAAAAGGGAAAAGGTTTGACAGTGGTGTGAAAAATTCCTCACGCACAAGGGTATAAAAGAAGACATAAATAGGGTCATGCAGTAGTCACCTGTGCAGCTTGAAACCAATTCATCACAACAATAGTAAGAACCACACCAACAATGTAACCCAAAAATGCACTCTTGAAATACTGACTTTTTCTTCCTCGGGAGACGTCAAATCGCAAAGCCAGGGCGACAAAAATACCTGAAGGGACAATAACACCCTAATCTACTTAAGTAACGTTAACAAAATAAGATAATCCTAATAAATGCTCCTTTCAAGTCGGCCCTAATAGGGTAATCATTAAATTAAAACGAAACAATTTTGCATTTGCAATGTTTAAATCAATCATTCACCACTTTAGCACAGAACCTAAAACCTGATACCAACAAAACAACGAAAGATAATCCACTCGGCTAAATAAAGGGTCGTATAAAACCTGAAGCTCCATGTTTGCATCAAAACAATTTGGTTCAGCTGATACCATTTCACTAGAATATTACCTAACAATTTACCAATCTTTTCCATAATTTCAGGGGATTCTCTTCTGAAATAGAGGACAAAGATAAAATAAAGATTTCAGGATTGGAGAGAAACACGCCAACCACTGGTCCACCCAGGTTATTTTGGTCATAACCAAAATTACAGCTCATCTCTTACCATAAACAAACCATACACGGGAGCAACTAAAAGCAAAACTATTCAAGCCCAACAGACAGATGCGAGGGAGCTCAAGGGGATTGTATTCAACTATTCATCTAATACTACACCTTGGGAGGCAAACAATGGCTCCTTGTACTGTATGTCTTCTTATTCTTGCTATGGGTTATATAAGAAGAATAGTATCCTATTCCTCGTGCAGTAAATAATATCAATGAAACTTTAAAACTTACCAGGAATAACAATGTCCCCAAGTCCAAGCATAGAAAATGGTCGTGCAGAATCTGCTGTGGGAAACAAAAGCTGCAAACAACAATTGCGGTTTCCAAAAAAGTTGTAATGAATTCCCAAAGCAGATATATTCTTATTGTCCAGATAAGCTATACGTTATAAAAAGAAGTATAGACTAAGCTGGAATACAAACCTTTATAGGAGCATCAAACGATTTTGCAACACTAACCATGACAGGAGTGAAGAATACCCAGAAAATATCATACACAAAGAGTCCAGCCTGCAAAGATTAGATGGAGAAGTGTGAAATAAAAAGGTCAGAAACAAGAAGATATGTACACTTGCTTCAAATAGTAGAGGACTAGCCAACCAAAAAATGAAAAGCGTAAAGGTAAATAATTAAATATAAAAAAAAAATACGAAAATTTAGGAGTATATTTTGAAATAGCACGCAAAACATCATAAAACACTAAAGTTTGAGGCAGAAAGCGCCGGAGTGGGATGATAAATATAGAAGCTGGAATTAATACAAAAGTGCTATCTTCTGCAGCAAAGGCACAGCACCATGCTAGCTGGGACAAACATAAAAAATACACTAGATACAACAATGCTAGTAAAATACATTCACACTTGAAGAGTTCAACTTCTTACCAAGAGGATAGCACCAGTTTTGAAAGACCCAAGAGAAAGCATTTCAATTCCCTGCAAATAACAAAAAAAAAAAAAATGACGCACGTAAGCAAGAATACCTTTATAGTTCTGTGCACAACAAAATGAAGCATATTTTCACAAGGTTAAGATCACAATGTAGGAATATCAAGACGAGCAATTTCTAAATAATGAGACTAGACACATAGATAACCATCGAGGAAAACTAATAATAAGAAGACGAGAATGATTTTAAATGAATGGCGCCAAACCTGAATGCAAAAGGCCAGGCCTAATATATTATTAGCAAGCCAGTGCTTCTGTGAAGCATACCATGCACAGAAAAAGGTTCCAGGAATGGCAGCAACAATCTGAGATCTTGTAAACTCGATCTCCAAAGCTGTGTAAGAAAGGTGTAAGGAAAATATCATTCTGCATGATGCCAACAAGATAATGTCAACTAGATCAAATAAACCTTGTGCCATAAAGCTAAACTGTTGTAGAAGACTCATATCACACACTCCATTCAAACAGCAAATTCTACAATGTCTAGTAAAAGAGGTTGATGAAACTTATCCTGGGAGAAAATAATAATTTGTATTAGTTAGGAGCATGAAACCCGAAACTATCATCTTCCCAGGGAATGCAATATCTCAAAATATCTTATGACACTTAGTGTCAAACTATCATCACTATCATTTCAGCTCACAACAGCCTTAAGATAGTAAATACAACTTTGGTACATTAAAAGTGATCTTATTCATAGACTAAGATATATTTTTCTATAAAAGAGAGACAGAAGCCAGAAACAGAGTTACAGAAAGGATATTGTAATAAAGAAAAGCTATATTGCTTTTTTAAATCATGGAAACCAAAACATTAGCACTTCGGAAAAATAAGATCTAGATGTTTCTAGAAGTCCAGTCCATCAAGATGCAGTCAATGTAATAAAAAATGAAACATTGACTGGAAATAAGGTCACATACAACAGAAATATGGGAAACGCCATATAATAGCATCATCATTCCAATGCGTTGGTAAAAAACGTTTGATAGCAGGTAACAATGTTGCCCTGTACAAAGCAAAAGGGAGAGTTAATGATATAACAACATCATCAAGCAAATAAGTAACTATATTTCCAACAATTATTGAGCTTCGAAAATAGAACTTACGATAGAGCAACGATTCCAAGAACAAAGAAGTAGCATGTCAACACAGCGTTAACCAAGTCTTTGGATAAGAACTTAAATAGTAAAAACAGTGATAGAAGCATCGCACTTCCAACAAATGGGAAGCGCATGGCATGCTCATTTGACATTGTCTCCTGCATAAGTAAACATCCATCAATAAGACTTGATATTGGTCATGAAGAAAACAATGGATGTGCTCGCGAAACATGGATGCTGTACTTACTGAAGGTGGAGTTGGCTTCACCGATCGGTAGCAACCCACATAAACAGTGAGGCATGCAGTCAAGACAACATTTAAATTAGGATCTACCTTCATAACAAGCGGTGCTAATGTTAAACCTGCAGCAAAAGACAACGCCCAATGAGTTATTGATACGAGTCAGCACCCCTATACCAGCAAGGATTAACAACATAAATTTTTCTTTTCATTTCTGACTAATCATTCCATTGAACTTCTTCTACAAGGACCTCCAGAGAAACAAATTTCTTTTAAAAGATAATCCTTTCCAACAGTTTCATGCCTTCCCAGAAATGGAGGGTGAACATACGATTTATTCAGCAAAAAACATTTACAACATTTCACATCACCAATGCACTCCAACAGAAAAAAGGCAACCAAAAGAATACAGAATTGAAGCTGATTCTATCTCTTCAAAAACAACTTTGCGCGTGAAATCCCATTTCAATAATAAAGGACATTTAATCTTAATAGGATTTATCTCCATGTTGAAGATTTATGCAAAGATTCCAACGTCAGAAAGCAATGTGAATCATTTGGACAACAACAAAGTCAAATGTAATGTTTTACAAGTTTTTCCCTCCCATTTCACGGGCCCAATGGCACAGTAATAATTGAAGGAAGAGCAAGAAGAAGAAGAAGAACAGAAAACCCTCAGCCCCAAAATCGAAAAACATTCAATCAAAATTTAGCGAAATCCGGGAATAGCATAAAATGGCGAACCTGCTAAAGCAAAATTTGCTATACGCTCAGAGTTCTTCATCGTTGTATATAATTATTCGAGAAAACACCTTCAGAAAGTAAAAGCTGAAAACTTTGACCAAATTCGCCTCCTCAGCAATCAAAAGCCCTATCAAAGAAATAAATCAAACCGCGTCAAAATCCAAAATTCCACAGATCACACGAGAAATTTCAATCAAAATTCTGTCATGAAAAAATGCTCTACAAATACACATATAAATAAACACATATTTATACACAGACACAGATATAAATACATACACAAAATTCATATGAATCATAAAATTGCATCGAAGAAACGAGTTAGCCATACCAGTCCGTGGAGGATCAAATGGTTTCTCTCCGTCGCAGATCGGAGGGGAAACGCCGAGCCGAGAGAGAGAGAGTGAGAGTGAGAGAGAGGGGAGAGAAAAGGGATACGGGATTTTTTGATAATTTGCAGATTGCAGATTTAGGGTTTTACCAGAGGGAAGCCATGGTTGGGTTAATGAGCAAAGGTTACTTAACACAGTTGTGACCACCGAACAGCCCCGTTATGTAAGCTTTCTCACCCGCCAATGAGGAATGGTTTTCTGTGACAGTTGTTTGAAGGACGGACCAGTAAGACACTCATAGTGACACGTGGTTGATTATGGTTGGTCTGTCGTGGGGAAATTAGAATACGAGCTGTTACGTCGTAATTATATTTGGCGTCGTTTGGTAAATTTCCTTTGTATGCAATATAAGGCGCCAGTCAGAAAGTTGACGCCAGAAATGATAGCTTTCGAGGGAGCCACGTCTAATGAGGTATATCAGCCAATTAGATTGTGCCAAGATGTACTTTGAGGAATGAAAATGAAAAATATCTTTAAAATTATATTTTACTACCCTGTAATTTTTAATTTATTACATTAGTATTTTATAATAACATCAAACAGAAATAGGTATTTTGTATTTGTATAAAATTACCTTCCAGCACTTTAGAGGCCTCTTTTGGAATAAAAAAGGGGTTCAATATGTCTTTTCACTCTAAAAACATGTTATAGACTAATTATAAAAACTCCCCTCAAACGGTATCTCTCATAACACTTTATCTTTTAATTTTTAAAAAATAATATTTGTTTCTTCTGAATAATAAAATATTAATAAAAAACTCATCCGTTAGTTTTTCTAATAGAATTTGACATTTATTTTATTATTTTGAGGTATTTTAGTAGTTCTATAGTTTAAAATTTAATATAAATTTAAAATTAATTTAAATTTAAATTTTAATTATGATACATCCATAATTGATTGAATATAAGTTGAAAATTTTATAAATCTTTTTTTTGGTGGAAATAAAAAAAATTTATGAAGCTTTTTTTAATATTTAAATTAGTTTAAATTCAAATTAAATTTAAATCATAAAATTACCGAAATACCTTCAAATAATAAATTAAATGTCAATTTCAGTTAAAAACCTAATAGATGAGACTTTTTGTTAGCATTTCATTGTTTAGGGAGAAAAGACGTTACATTTTAAAGGTTATGGAGTAAAGTGTTATAAATGGTATAATTCAGGAACAATTTTTGTAATTAAAGAAAAATAAAATTTCACATAATTCTTTAGATAAATGTTAGCATCACATTTTTTTCACTCTCTTTCTCATTTTTATATTTATTATTTGACATGTAGACTCTATTATCTTATTTTTGTTTAAATAATAATATATTATTTTAGTAAAGATAAACCATTTGATTCAATAATTGATATAAAATATCTTAAATTTCCAATAAGTTTTATTGGATGCAAATATTTTTTCAAAGTCATGATAGGGAGTTTCTTTACAGGACCAAGGAAAAAATAAAATGCTTACACTCTCACTTTTAATGATTAAATTCATATAAAATCTATGTGATATGTATTTTTTTTAATTTGATATGATATAACAATAAAAAATTAGTGTTATGAGTACGGAGGTTCTATAAAAAAAAGTCATGTCACAATAATGAAGATTTTAAGGCTTTTTTTTAAAGAAATAGGACTAAAAAAAATAAATTATCATTAATTTTTTATTTTTTAACTTTAAAATTATTATGGTTCATAGTTTATTACAGTATTTTCTCTCAAAAAAATTACACGTAAATTAAAAATGATTCTAATCACATAATTTTAATTCATGAACCATGATTTGAATCATGATTTATTTCAATATTTTTTTTTTACAAAAAATATATATAAATAAAAAATAATTTTAATATTCTAATTCATCAACTACACGTGTGAGTTCTACATATTATTTAAATTGATGAGATTTTAACCATACAACACTAAAAAACTGGCGCTATAAGTAGAGAAGCGATAGAAAGTCCCTTTTCCAGAAGCCCCACTCCTTCCCGGCCATTTTGCTTGCTCAACTTACAGGAAAAGAAATAATGGCGGAGTCTCATTTTCAGTTTCAGCAGCTCAAAACTCTGAGAAAATCTCCCCATTCTCCATGGAAAAAACCCATCTTCATGGCTTATCTCTCTCACCTTCCCAATCACAACTTCAAGTTCGCCTTCTCAAAGTCTTCAACAATCTCTTTCGGTCGCTGCTCACTTTCCCACAGACGCACCGCCATTCTCGACCTCCCTTTTCGTCCTCTCTTCGCCGCCGCTCGTCCTCGCACGCTTTGCAAGATGAGCGATTCCGGTGAACAATCTCTCACGCCATGCCTTTCAAATGGGTTTTGTTGTTTAGTCGCTCTAGAGTCTTACAGTCTATCAGGACTTTCTACAAGCAGTTGGCGTGCGCAAAGAAAAAAAGAAGTTGGTTACTTTTAATACGTTTTAGCCGTGGATTATTACTGAATTTAGTACAGTTTTAACTGGAGAACTATCATCAGTATATTTTGGATTTTGTTCGAATAAATTTAGGTGGCCGAATATCGTCATCGAGAGACACACACACACACGCACGCACGCACGCACGCACATGTATGTGTATCATGTTCAAAAAAATTGAGAAAGATGTGAGTGGGTTTCATGTAAAAATAAAATATTGGGTTTTCTTCATTTTGCTACTTGTTCTTTTTACAATTAGTATTCTGTAGGAGACTGATATATGCAACTCTGTTACGTTATGCGTGTATGTTAGATAAATAAAATATTGGGTTTTCTTCATTTTGCTACTTGTTCTTTTTACAATTAGTATTCTGTAGGAGACTGATATATGCAACTCTGTTACGTTATGCGTGTATGTTAGATAAATAAAATATTGGGTTTTCTTCATTTTGCTACTTGTTCTTTTTACAATTAGTATTCTGTAGGAGACTGATATATGCAACTCTGTTACGTTATGCGTGTATGTTAGATATAATGTCACAGCTGGAACTTGGGAAGCCAGAAGAACGCCGAAAACCGCATAAGCAAGTGACTGGAATTTTCTGGATTATACTTCTCAATCTAGGAATATATGCAGCTGATCATGTGTTTCAGGTAGTGATTTATGCCTTCTGCTTTTATTGGTTGGTGTATTTGTGTTACATTGAAAGTTAGATAAAGAGGGAAGCACGGCATCCAAGACCATTTGATGTTGATTTTCTTGTGCTTAATGGGAAAGACATTTGTGAAAGGAACATTTGTATGGGATACACTCACCATCACTACTCTTCTTGTATTGTATTGTACTATATTATATAGCAGTGGCAGTCAAGCTGACACAAGAATTTCTATGCTTTCCTTTAGGTTCGTGCAATAAAAGATCTATACCTGTACCACGGTTATCCTGAGTGGTACCAGTTTCTGACTGCGACTTTCTGCCATGCTGATTGGTAAGACCGGGCAGCATACCAGTCATATGATAAAACTATACTTCTTTGTAACGGCTATTCAGACCAATTTAATTTCTACAACTTTAGGCTTTTAACTTTTTTTATCTACAATTTAATTTCTAAAACTATATATATATATATATATATATTTTGTTAAATCTGTGCATCATTTTCAGGAGACATCTTTCTAGCAACCTTTTCTTCTTATACATTTTTGGTGAGGATCTCATTCTTCTTTTGCAAGTATTGAAGGTTTATTATTTACAAGAGCAGGCATTAAATTGATGGAACTTTCTTCCGCTAACAGGAAAACTTGTTGAAGAAGAGGAAGGAAACTTCGGGTTGTGGCTTTCTTATATTCTTACAGGAGTTGGAGCAAACCTTGTTTCATGGCTGATTCTACCGCGAAATGCAGTTTCGATTGGAGCCTCGGGGGCTGTTTTTGGTTTATTTACAATTAGTGTCTTTGTAAAGGTATCCCAAATGTGGATGCTGCAAGTAAATCTCCTTACATGCGAAAGTTATTAATGTACTTTTTTGTTTTTTATGTAGATGTCCTGGGACTGGAGGAAGATCCTTGAAGTGTTTATATTGGGCCAATTTGTTGTAGAAAGGGTGAGATATTCTTTTTGACATTCAACTTAGGTGCGTTGGAGCTAATAACGAACTTTTTGTTGATGTTGTTATACTAAACCCATAATTAAACTACTGAATTTTTAATAACTTTAATGGAGCATAAGGTCTTAATCATTCAAACTGCCGTGATTGGCTCTTGAAATAAGCAGCTAGTAACATATTTTTTAACTTCATGACACTTACCCTGCATTAGAGTCTACTGTAATTTGGCGAGTAAATTTCCAGATTTGCTTTAGTGTCTCAGATTATCCAGTTTGACATGCAAATTTTTCTGGGTCTGAAACATTTGAAAGTTTCAGAGCAGTTCTGGTGGTGGAGAACATAAAGGAATATACGTCTTGATTTGCATGTGGTTGGGGGCATCTATGAGACGGAAAGGTGTATATGGATATTTAACTTAATATGCATGTGGTTGGGGGCATCTATGAGAGAGTGTATATATAGATATCTAATAACCGCATCTGCTTGGACTAAAATTCTCAACGGCTCTTATATGGACATGATAGGTTATGGAAGCAGCCCAAGCTTCCACTGCGTTATCCAGTGGCTTCCGCGGATCCTCTGCGTTGCAAAGCATCAACCACATTGCCCATCTCTCTGGTGCTCTGGTTGGCGTGTTTCTGGTATGGCTTATCAGTAAAGTTCCTTCGGAACCTCCAGATCAAGAAGTATCAAAGTTGCATAGGAAATCGGACAGAAAATAGAAAGATATTTTTTTGTATATCAAAGTATTCTTTATCTTGAAAATGCATATTCCTCAATAGTTCTTTCTGCTTCTGATCTTGTACTAAAATTGTTCCCATAGTAAATGGATTGTGGAAAAAGGCAGAAGAAGGCCTTTGGTGAATCTGCCACAACTGAGGTGAGCGCTGAAAATGCATTGATATAAAACAGTCACGTTGATAGAATTCTAACTTTTTTAAAATTTATAGCCCCTCTATTGAGTGGAGTCACTAGATTTCCCTATAAATTATTTCTCCTACAAATTTAAGCTATTATAAGATAAACCAACATTAGCATTTTAACAATGTACTAAACAAATGCTTATTTTCAAGAATTGTATTAATGAACTAATGAAGTGAATGTTGGTAGCTCCATGATCAGGTACATTAGCCAGGATTCACATAATCTGCAAGCTTAAAAGATGTTAAACGGAAAAGCTCTTTTCCTTATCTTGAGCATTTGAATTATGAATTTCTTATTCGGCGACTTCATTGCATATTGCTTCTGAAAAGCAGATTCTGTGTTTCCTTCAGTTCAATAATACAACCGTAGATGAAGGTGCAAACTTACCATATATGGCAAGCTGCCCTTGTGTTTGCTTTCGGCATATAATTTGCAAGCTTTTCCCAAATTTACAAGTAAAAGGAAGAAAAAATGATTTTGTACCAAAGATTGAGCCTTCCAAGGAAGAAACTCCCTCTCTCATCACCGTTAGGCTTCTTTTAGTTATTGAAGATGACCCTTTTTCAGTATTAGTAAATGCAGTTGGTATCTGCGAGAGATTAGAGTAGGAGGCACTCGAAGAGTTCTTTTGGTGACCCTTTTCTAAGCTCTTCAATGGATTTTTTTCTGTTTCCATTTTATGGCTCTTCCTTTTCTTGTTCACAACAGCCAGCATCCTATTCGCTTCTTTTGTCAATCCAATAGCGCGCCAAGCATCCGCAACGAGAGAGAAAGTAGAATTCTTCGGTTTAATCTTGAACCGTTCCATAACTTGGAGCATCTCTTCCGCTCTCCATGGCTGCTTCGCTTCCCCAAATCCCCATATTAGAGTCTCAAATGTCTTCAGATTTGGAGACACCAAATTCACACATCTCATCGAAAACACCGGCTACATTATCCATACGACCCAAACTGCACCATCCGCTGATGATGGTTGTGAAAAATACAACATTTGGTCGGACTCCCGAGTTAATCATCTGCGTCAAGGCTCTTGTGACGCACATAGCCTTTAGCAAGAATGCTATGTGCATGGGAGTCGGGTTTTACGCCGGCCTTCACCATGTCATCAAAGATTTGCTTGCACTTCTGCATGAATCCTGCTGTGCTCCATGCATTCATGATGGTGCTATACGAGATGACATCTGGTTTGACTCCAAATTCTTCCATCAAATGCATCACCTGCAGATTAACACTCACTGTAATGTCAACTTTAAGTCTATTATCAGAAGGTATAACAGAAACATTTAAGCAATCAGCTAAACAGGGTTTTACTCCTAAAAGCCTGCTCAAACAACTACACATACTAATGTTGAAAATTTCTTCTGTCATGTAGAATTAGCTTCTTCTTCTTCTTCTTAAAAAAAAAAAGAAGGAAGATTATTAAGTTGTGCCTATTAACTCAAAGGTTGGGTGCCTATAAATCAAACACTATTTGACTAAATAATCTGTATTTTTTTTTTCAAAAAAACTAATCACCCACACTTGTATTTTCCCTCACATATAATTAGGAAATAGTTTTACTAACTAGCACCAAAAACTTGCTAGTAGAAAGAAAGAATCAACTCTAGCGTTTGACTATGGTTTTTGTGTATTGCAATTTTTTTTAAGTGATAAAATTACTTCAATAAAAACATCACTAGGGAAACAAAACGGAGACAACTCTGCACTCATGATTCACCTTGTCGACGCCATCTCTGTCCATACCTTTGGCGAAACCCTTAATCAGCGAGTTAAACACGACGAGATTAGGACACAGCCCAAGACCCTTCATCCTATACACAAACCTCAAGCCCTCCTTCAGCTTCCCTTCTTTACAATACCCACTTATGATTGTACCACAAGTTCTCTCATCAGGCTGCACACCATTATCCTGCATTTCCAAGATCATGCCCTCGGCGCGATCAGTCTCACCCATCTGAGCATATACCGTCGCCATCGTATTATAAGTAACAGCATCAGGTTTCATTCCAGAAGCTACCATCTTATGCATCACATTCCAAGCCTCCTCAATGTTCTTCACCCTGCACCATGCCTTGACAAGTATATTGTAAGTCCTAATATCGGGTTCCACATTTTCCTCAAGTGACATCATCTCCAAGATTTTCCGCGATTCTTCAGGTCTACCAGCAATCCCGCACCCTTTGATCAGAGTGTTGTATGTTCTAGTAGCGGGTTTGAGTCTGCTCTCCTTAATCTTCCCAAAAGTTTTCAAGGCTTCCTCTATGTTCCCAGCTTCACATAAAGCATTTATAACAGCATGAAAGAACACTACATCAGGTTGCATTATGCTTTCTTCCACCCGTGATACGATCTCGGGGATCGATTGGAACTGCTTCTGAGCTGTCAAAGCAGCAAGGAGGGTTGTGTAGGACACAAGTGATGGTTTGTGACCTCCTTCAATCAATCCATCATAGATGGATTGAGCTTCCTGGGGTTTCCCCCTTTGAATAAGAATTTTCATTAGTTTTGTTCTTGATTGCACAACTCTGCAACTTCCTTTTGTTGTGCAGAAACTGCAGTGGGGCTGATCAGTCTGGGAATCTGAAGACTTTGGAATTGGACGCAATTGATTTTTGTCATTTGGATAACTTCCCTGTTATGCAAAAAGACTTATAAGGTGATATTTAAAAAAAAAAAAAAAAAAAAAAAAAAAAAAAAAAAAAAAAAAAAAAAAACTATTTAGTCCTTGATAAATAATCATAATGGCATGCAACATAGCAGCAAAGAACCAAATAATTAGTTTCAAAAACATGTCAATATGATACTTAAACCTACGTCCTAAGAAAATTACTTTAAAATATGCTATTTGCATGTTAAGTATGATTAGTTCTCCAATAATTTTTTCTTCAAAACCAAAATGATAAGAGGAAGAAAGTGAGGTTATATAACGGCTTTTTGGTGCACAGGATTATAACACTAGACTGGGATAATGGATATTTATCCCATATATATATATATATATATTTTTTTTTTTGAGAAAGATTTTTATCCTATATTTGGTCCAATTGTCTAGGACAACAGGATTCAATTGGATAGGATAATTTCAAGGACTGGACTGGAGTGTATTGGAAAGGATTTTGAACTGATACTATCCCATGTTAGTAACTCATAGGATTGGAGAGAACGTTGTAATTTATATAATTTATGAAAATAATAAACCAAAATTTTTCCCCTCAAAAAACGAATTTTTAGATTTAGTTTCACGTTTGATTAAAATAAAAGATTTTTTTAAAAAATAAATAATAATCCAAAATTAAGTAATAAGTGAAAAATATATGCAAAAAAGAATTAGCTTATATCTAAGAAGAATACGTATTAGATTTGAAGACCTATAGCCTCTATCAAAAATGAAAATATATTAAAACAAAAAAGAAAAGAAGACCCAAAGACTTGTTTGATTCATAAGTTTAAACATAAAAATTTAAATAGAAATTTAAATTTTGTGAGAGAAAAACAATAACAAATAGGTTTAAAATGTAATGCATTGCAAATCATAACAAAAAAAGAAAAAAAAAAAGGGAAAAAAAGATAAAGATAATGAACTAGATAGATTTGTGGTCGTGAATGGGAAACGGGTAACCCCTACTAACCGGTTTTCTTCAAACGTGAGATAAAAATGTGTAATCCCAGTCATCCTCAAACTGGAGTGTACTGGATAAGTCTTATCCGGCCCAGTCTTATCCGGCCCGGGACCCAATCCTCTGAGAGGAGGATTCGAGTTTCCCACAAAAGAAGCACGGGATTACGGAGTCCCTCGTCCCTCCCAATTCCGTGGGCAAGTTGATCTCCCAATTTCTTCTTCTGCTTCGTTAGGGATTAATCTCTCTTCTATTTTTCGGACAATTTGATCAAATTCTTCTCATATTTTCACATTTTAGCTTCTATTCGCTCACTATATTTTTCTTCTTCTCAGGTTCACAATTTTTCTTTCGTTCTGCGCAAATCCGTGATGCTCAAAGAGGGCTCGTCTTCCGGGTTCTAGGGCTAGCTTGTGTTAATAATCAGGTAATGTGAGTATCTCCCAGAAATTTTGAATTCATATTTTGAAGACTTTTGTTTAAATCATTATTGACATTATTTGTCTTTCTTCATTCCGAGCTTTAAATTTTGAATATCCTGTGTTCAAATTATGGTGGTTTATTGAGATTCTAAAGTGTACCATTAGAAAATTTCTCTCTCTCTCTCTCTCTCTTTTTTCCTTAATTTCTGTTTATAGTTACAAAATTAGGTCTGCTACTGCGTTTGTTGCATGATTTCTTATTGCTTGGACGATTTTTGTGTTATCTCTTAGTAAAAATGACTTAATAAGAAGTTACTTTTTCTAAATTTTAATTTGCAAAATGACTTCAAAACGAGTCAGTGCGACTACTTTTTATACTGCGTGACCAAGTGATCGAGTCAAAATTAAAAAGATCATTTTGTTAATTTCACTTTACTGATTACTAATAATCTTCTCTTTCTTTTCAAATTAATGGATAGCCAATCATTCAATGAAAATGGTATATACTCTATAGGATAGTCAACTTAGTAAACTCATAGGCATGGTGGATTTTGATGTAAGAGAGTTTTGAAGATGATGATGGCTTCTATTTTTAGCTCCACCAAGTTAGTTGAATCACTTCCTACTGTTTCTCCTCAACTAACACGAAGTAGTGGCTGCACATAAAAGTTTCAATTATTTACTTGTTAACTTATCTTTGAACTTAGAAAGTATTTATCAAACTATTGCTACTCTGATAAATAAAAATTAAAAAATACAACACTTATCCTTTCTTGAATTAGCAGAGGATCATTCCAAATATATTTTCTTTCTTTGAGTTTACTTGAACATTGTCTGCATTTCTATCTATGTGAAAAAATACACTCATTGGTTTCTATGTATGCGAAGTGATGCACTCATTCCCAACTCATTGTGGCATAATTGGGACGTTCAAGCCAAAGTGCTAGACTTCTCTGTGTATTTTTCATACTTATGTTCTTGTTTAGTTTTGTATTTGGATTGCTTTCTTTTTGTTTAATTAACAATTTGTGTTTAAATGCTCTTTGGAAATATGTAAAAGATTGTTATGTACTGAATAAGGCTCATAGGAGGATTTGAACACACAAAACTGTTGGCCTTTTGGCAGATTGGGTGAGATTGTGTTTTGATTGATTTGTGTAGGAATGGCATTTAGAGGTAACAATCAGATTGAGCAAGGAAAAAAAGGGGCTAGGCGTACATGGACAAAACAGGAAGAAGAAGCATTGGTAGGCATCCTCAAAGATTTAGTTGCACGAGGACATCGTTGTGAAAATGGAAGTTTCAAACCTGGCACAAACCTTATCATAGAGAAGGCTTTGACTGATACTTTTCCTACATGCGGATTAAAATCTACGCCTCATATAGACTCCAAAATGAAAGTTTGGAGAAAAAATTATAGTATAGTTTTTGATATGGTTAGCAAGAGTGAGTTTAGATGGAATGATGTGCATAACTGTGTGGAGGTTGACAGTGATGAAGTATGGGAAACATATGTGCAGGTTCGATACTATAAACTTTTTGCTATTGCATAAATAATATGTGTTATATTTCAATTTTCAACTTATTCATTCTTTTTGCAGCACCATAAAGAGGCACGGGGTTGGAGAGGAAAGCCTTTTCCATTTTACGACAAACTTCAGAACATCTTTGGAATTGACCATGCAACTGGAAGGGGTATTGAGACGCTTGCTAATACGGTTGACGACATTGAACGAAATGAGACCCACACTAATGATCTTGAAGTAGAAGAAGAATGTGTTCCATCTACAGACAACCAAACATCAAGTACTAACTCGATTCAATCGTCACGTCGAAAGAGGAGAAGATCATATGACAATAGAAGTGATGGCTTGGAGAAACTTGCTGAATCTCTTGTCAAAATGATGGATAAATCAAATACACAGGTGAAAATGATAGTTCATGGCTTAGAGGATGCCATACAAAAGAAAGATGATGATCAATATAATTTCATATGGAATGGTCTTACAAAGTTGGATATTCCTATTGATGATCAAATCAAGGCATTGAAGCTCATTGCTCAAGAACCATGGAATGTTAGTGTCTTTAAAGCTTTGGATGATTCAAAGAAGTTGGATTGGGTAAGATCACTCTTGCGAATATCTAAGAAATGAAACCTACTAACTTTTGTGTGTTATGAAGTTGTTGGTTCTCATACTTTATGAACAACTTTGGCTATTAGTTTTGCACAATTATGATATTAGACTTTATATTTGTCATTCGGTCTATATTATACTTTGTGGTGAACCATTAAGATAATGCGGATAATATAGTTCCACTATCAATTTTATATATGCAAATTTGCATGAATTGGATTTTTAATAGATATTTTTAAAGATTTTAACTAATCATTTTTTTAAAGTCAAGAGAAGATTCCCATCTGAACCATCAGATTTCACATTTTTTGTTTACATATTTATCAATTTAGCATTACTATTTTTATTTTGTTAAAACATTTACAGTTATTAAAGTTAGAAGTGATATTCAATTGTATTCCTATCCTAAAAGTACAACACTCAACACAGGATAGAATTAACCACAATTAAATGAAGTCTTTTCCTATCCAAATATCAATAATATCCTATCCTGTCACCAAGCGGATAAAAACTCAATATGCAAGGTCTTATGATCTCATCCTACTTTGAAGATAACTGGAGACAAGATTGGAAGTTGGAACATCGAACTTAACCATACCATGAAAACAAAACATTATGATTCGATCTACACATATTATATGATTCCTTAAATTAAAAAAAAATAAAAAATAAAAAAACGCAATTTTTGCGTTCTTCCAAAATGTTACCTACCAAAAGCACAGCACATTTTCCCTTTATCTGCAATTTCTCTACTCATTTCCACTTAGAATTTTCCAAAAAGAAAAGAAAAAGCATTCGAAATGATCTGTGAATTGTATAACCAAATTCACCAGCCCCAAGTAGTTCACCAACAAAATACTTCATTACGCAATTACGCAAATATGAGCCAACAACTATTGAATTGGTAAAACATTTTTTTACCAAGTCCCCTGCCTAACCCGCCTAAATACCAAAAGCCATCTTACCTTAAAAAGGGCGTTTTTATTTTTTGCCCTGAAAAAAAGGGGGTTTTGTTGCTGCCAATAAAACACAAAATACGAAGGGTATGTTCTTTTGTCCAAAAAATTCAAAAAAAGACAACTCGAGTTTCAATTTTATTTAAATTTACGTTCTTTGGCCCCGTTCATTTCGCTGATTCGAGTTTAGAATTTGAGTTTTGCTACAGTAAAAAGCTCTCACAAACAATCACATCTAACTTTTTTGCTACAGTAAAAAGCTCTCACATAAAGTCACATCTCAACTCGAATTAAAAACTCGAATCAACGAACTAAACAGGCCAAGTTTCAACTTTATTTAATTTTACTCAACTTTATTCAAGTTACAACTTCAACTCAAATTATAACTCAAATTCAACTCAAAAATTACACTTAAGTTACATTCTAAAAGAACAACTCCGAAGTAAATAAAACTTAAAAAAAAAAAAAAACCATATAATTTCAGTACGGTACTTTAACGTAAAACACTCTGACCATAAGTGCATGTTGTACGACAAGTACATTACCTTTTTCACAATTGGTGTCGTTTCTTGACGTTTTGGGGTGGGTCTTGAGAGTGCCTTTTCTCTGCGTAATTCTCCCGTAACCTCTCTTCCTTTCATTTTACACTCTTTACTCTTTCCAGTCAAAGAGAGAGAGAGAGAGGGATTCTTCTATTTCTACATACCTTTGTAGTTATAATGGATGGCAATTGGAAAGATATATTACCAAATATATCCAGCAGCAGGAAGGAGCGGAAGGACTAGGGACAGAAGATAAGAGGGAGAAAGTGAGGGGCTCTGAAAATTTTTAAGAAATAGTAATATATATTTTAGGATACTTTCAAATTTGTCGTGAATGAAAAATTGACAACCTCTACGGTGGAATAAAAAAAAATCTATCGGTAAAATTTTATCTTTTTAACTCTTGAATTAATTTAACAACTGTTAAATTTGTATAAATTTATATTAAAAATTTATTATATAACACATAATTATTTTTACTATAAATTTAACTGTTAAAATATTAATCTAACAACTAAAAATAAAAATTCTACCGATGAAGTTTTTTGAGTCTCATAGTAAAGAATGCAAAAAAACAAAATAATAATAATAAAAAAAAAGGAAAAAAAAATAAATCTAGCTAAACAACTGGGTGGATTTTTTGTTTAGCAAAAAAAAGGAAAAAAAAGCCTAGGTGGATTTTTTTATTATTATTTTGTTTTTGGCTTCACTAGGACTAGGATTCAGAGTTGGTCCTATATACGGGACAATCATATGATTGTAGTATTGGGATAGAAAATGATACTATAGTGCCCTAATTCATTAGAGAATAATGAACAAACCGTAATTCTCAAAAAAAAAAAAAAAAAAAAGGAACGGTAATATCAGTTTAATACATTTTTTTTTGGAATAAAAAGAAGATCTTAAAAGTCTCCCTTGCCACTGAAATAAGTTGCAAAATATCTATATAATATGACACGCATTATTATATAACTAAATCATAAAAAATATTTATATTTTTTAACAGATTTAATTTTTTAATTTGAATTGAGATGTGACATTTTTTTAAAATTTTTAACTGTTACAAAATAAATTAAATGTAATATTTTTTAAGGGCTTTTAACTGTAAATATTTAAAATTAAAAATTCAAATCAGTAAAATAAATGAGACCAATCTCGATATATAAGAACAATTGACCCTCAGCAACAAATCGATTCAACAGAGCACAATATAATGAAACACAAAAAGGGTAGAAAAAATGTGCGCTTAATTCTTTGATGGGAAAATGCAAAGACGCGCTAATAATCAAGTTCTCAACCGTACTCTTTTAACGTCACTTCAAAAAATCGATAAAAAAACTCTATTGGTAAATTGGTCACGTACAACAACACTATAATAAAAATAATAATAATAATAAAAAAACAACAACTTTTGCAGATTGTACATTAAAGAGACTATACATTTGTTATTAATACATCATACGAGTTATAACTCACATAACATGACACGATAGAGATCTCGACACCATTATTCTACGAAAACAAAAGTGTCAAAAAAAGGGTACCAACACCAAGGACTGATGATGCGCCACCGTCAAACATCCCTACTCTCCCTAGTTCGACGAGGCCGATCGTATGAGTGATATTTTGTATAGTACTTGGTCTTTATGGGAATTTCATAACGAGACACGAGTTTCTTTTTCTTTTTCGTGCAATAACAAGAGCAAGAGACAGACTCCCCGCAATTCCTAAAAAGACGATTGTACCCCTACCAACCCTGCTGTTTTTCATTTTCCTCCTTGAGCTCCTTTTACTTCTCCTCCTCCCCTTCAGTTCTTCAAAATCCACTCCTTCCTGGCACCTGAAAACAAGTTTCTCGTGGGAAAAGAGAGAATTCCGCGGATTTCTGAAGCCGGAGAAAACGGATTTTCCTTCTTGTTTTCTTTCTCAATACACAGAGAACAAAACGTCTTCCCCAC